ACAATACAAAAGACACATAAGAGAAACGTAGATCATAGCGAGCACACACGCCTGTCAAAAGACCTGCCTTTAATTATACAAAGACCAGCGTAAAACACACGGTCGAATGATAAATCGCACGGTAAAACAGTTTTACTTCCCAAATTTTGATGTAATATGTAATCGAAAACTCAAAATACCAAGAAATAACAATTTTAGTAAATTTTCAAATTTTGAAGAAAAAATGAGAACGACATGGTATCTCAATTCCGCCGTTATCGCATCCGCAATATCCACGGCTGTACAAAAATATAACTTTCTCGAAAATCGGTTGGGAATTGACAATTTTCGTGCACGTTAAAGATTTGCATCACTTTCGGTCTGTTCACAACTTTCACAATAGTTAAAAGTAATAACTGTTAAAAACAAGGGAAAAATCAATATTCAGAATTCTACCTGTTACGGTTTGTGAGATCTACACGATTCGGAAAAAGAATTTAAAAAAACCCAACAATTTTTCGAATGGGACAAAAGGAGTGTGAAGTCTTTGATAACTAACACCACCTAAGACATACTTATCCCCATTAGTTTCACCTTGTCTAAGAAGAAAGACGACTTCCTTATAAATAACTGCATCGGATCGCTTTATTTTCAATGGTATCAAATGATGACGTCATGTAGAAATAAAACCTGTGACATTAATTTCAGGGGAAACTATTACATAGTTAAATGACATATTTTGACTGTAGAATCATCAACTCCATATTTTGGTTAACAGTAAAACACTTATACATCAACTATTGTCACTGTAAAAAAAGGCTCTATTGATTATATAAATATGCTTTATACGTTGATAATACGTACCGATTTTATCCACTCCTATGGCCGAATGGTTAGCATGTGCTCGCTGTATCACATGGTCTGTCATTGAGTCAACTGGCGGGGTTTTGATTCCCCGGTTGTACGTGACAAGGAGTAGGGTCGCCTGCCCAACCTCGTTGGTTTTCTCCCACTGCTAAAGACCCCTACACGCAAGCGAATTATTGAAATAAAAAAAATTAAACCATATGTTAGTCCCGAAATGACCTAGTTTGTGTCAAGTGGACGTTAAACCCCATTTCTCTCTTTTCATACACAGATATATCAATTAGGCTCTCTATAGAAGGAGTTCTCCCAAAAATATTAGATTGCCTTTTTGAGAAAAAGACCTCTAAACATGCTCATACAGCGGCGCTAGTCTACTTTTATATGGAATTCTAAATGCCAAGGGATCTTTTACGGTCACACCAATGTGTACACGGGACTTCGGAATCGCTTTCATGTCAGCTACTCAAATATGTAACTGGTTCAAAAATTGATTGAATATTCAATGAAATATCGCCAATTTTCTGGTTTTGTGCACGTTAAAGATTTGACGTCACTAACATATAAAAATTTAATATTAATTACAGATAGAGTCCATGCTCAAACAACGTCATGCCATTTATCACAGGTGCAATATTCGATACTACCGTACGATACTACTGCAACCTCTTAACAAATTGGACTTGCTTATAAACAGCGCGAGCCGTCGATTTCTGTCCAGATGATTACCGTTATAAGATAATTTTGACAAAGAAGCAACAATATAAATTCAAAGACAATTATTATACACAGCAATCAACTATTTCTGTTACAGGGTCACTAAACCCATATTTTGGATAGAAGAAAACACTCGTAGTTGAAATAATTTCAGTTCAAATATCATCACTGATAAAAGCACTCTTGGATAGGCTCTATACATTGAAAAAACGTACAGATTGTATCCCCCTTATGTTTCGCTTAAAGATACATTATGGGAGATTTTTATAGAGAGTTGGCCATTCTTGCTATAACAGTTCAAAAGTAGATGATGAAAAAAGAATATATTGAAAAATTCAGTCAAATTACTTTATTCTGAACATAGTTATCATCGTTGTAATATTTGCCTAGAAATGGTAGCGAATTGTGTCTTCACCTTCGCTGATCATTTGATTGACAGGCGTTAACTCCACCTACATATCTCGATTATCAAGTAAAGTTTTCAATGGCATACCGAAATGCTTTACAGCGGCCTCGCTAAGTACACTCTATCATTTAGCCTCGATCTAACTGATGTATTTTCATCAGGTTACCCCTTATTGGATTTAATCAATTAGTGAAATCCTATTTAAATCTGAGCTGTAGCCGAGCCATCCGTGGGTCTACAGAGTTGATTTTGGTCTTGTTGTTTAAATAAAGATCTAATTTATAATTTCTATAACATCTGAAGCCTAAATTAAGACTTGCAATAATCAGATTTAGCTCTTGCATAATGCATGTTTAACAATGAAAGGTGCCGTGTTCAATTTTCGATCCCTTTGTTCTCCTACTCCTGAAATTTGGAACTGTTGTACAATGGTTTTATGTATAACACTACCGATAGGCCTCTCTATAGAAGAAGTTCCAAAAAAAATATTATGTTGACTTTTCGAGAAATAGACCTCTAAAAATGCTCAAAATCGTAAAAATATGACGTTTTCCATTTTCGATCTCTTTTTTCGGCTACACCTGACATTTCAAAAAATAATACAGTAGTTTCACACAACAGACAACCCATTAGTCTCTCGATTGAGAAAGTTTTAAAAAAATCGTTGGGGGCGTTTCAGAGAAACATGCGTCCAAAGTTGCTCGAAATTGTAAAAAACATTACTTTTCAAAGTCACATAACTTTTTAAATTTTTGATAGAAACTTGCCGCTTTAGTACCATCCGATAGACAATTCAATTGGCTATTATTAAACGATATAAAACTTTAACTAATTGCCAAAAACACAATGAATACATCTCATTTTTCGCACAGGCACCCATTTTTCACAATTTTGTCAAATTTTAGATACCCTTTTTGACCACTTTCGGTGATTAGAAGATTTTCATTTATAGTTCATGAACTAGTTTGGTCCTTCGACTTCATATTCTATAAATTTTAGAAAAATCATTGGAGCCGTTTTAAAAAAATAAGAACTCGACGATTTGACCAAAATGCGAAAAAAAGTGAAAAATCAAATCTTACATTTCAGAACAAAACTTATATTTTGGGAATCAGATTGATGTCAGCTATCCAAAAATATAAATGAAATTTCAAAATTCCTAAATATAAAAATTTTAGAAAATTTTGAAAATTTTCCATTTTTCACCAAAAAAATGAGAGCGACAAAGTTTCTAAATTCCACAGTTTTGAACTGCTATCTGCTCGTAAATGTCTCCCACTATCCGAAAATGTACATATCTCAAAAATCGATTGAGAATTAACGGAGTTGTGGCCGATTATCAATTTTCGTGCACATTAAAGATTTCACGCATTTCCAATATGCGCACAAATTTCGAAATAGCTTTAAGCACTAGCTGCACACTATTTTTCCAACAGAAAATCAAATTTCAAACCTCTATCTCTTATAGTTGCTGAGATCAAGCTTCCCCCAATAAAAAAAGAATAATAATATTAATCTAAGTAATAACAATAGTCTTTCACCGAAGGTGAAAGCCTAATAATAATATTAATCTTAGTAATAACAATAGTCTTTCACCAAAGGTGAAAGCCTAACTAGACTTGCTTGCAAGACTGAAGGCTTTCACCGTAGCCAAAGCGTCACACGGTCACCAGATGTATGACGGATGTTTCCCGTTTAGTGTCCAATGAAAAAATAAACATTGAAAAAATTCAGAACAATGTTCGCAAATGAAGTTTATGTATAATTACTATAATTTACAGGACAATTTGAGAAAATTAAACAATTTGGTCCAAAGAGTATTTTATACATAGATGTATATAATTTTTGGCGTAAATAAGTCAGAATGTGAGAAATGAATTCCAGGGGGCGCGATAAACTGTCCTCTGCACGTGATTAAATTAAACTTAAAACATGATTTGAGACGCATGTTTTACTAAGCGGAATTCACATCAAGACTTACAGCTAGTGCGGCGATTCGCGCAAATTTTTAGTCCTGCCGATGTCGAAGAAATTAATTACGATATTCACATCGATCAAAATAAGAATCAAAACCATTTAATCGTGTTTGTGTGCATGGATAATGTGTGACATGGAAAATTATAAATGACAGGTCAGTTACTAAAGCGACATTTCGAGGCCTGTCTGATTAAACTCTATATTTATTTCTATTTATGTAAATTATTTTCTTTTTTGAAAATTATAGAAAATCGCGTTAGAAGCTCGAATTGTCGATGCAACTGCGTACGTGATCAATTGAACATTTGGAAAACTGTTCTGACTGTATTTATTTTCTTTCTTTTTTGTACGTATTTATTTGAAGATTCAATAATTATTCTCTGATTCCACTTAATCATTGTTTTGTTGGTCATATTCAACCAAGAGGCAATTTCAAATCAATGGCCGAATGTTCGCTACACAACTATTTTTTTCATTGGTTAGAGGGGTCTAACCGCGGGAAAATTTACTGTTACTATTGGCTGACAGCATGCATGCACGAATCAAACAATCTTATTTGCATATTGCATGTTTTAGAGTATAATGGCTGGATCGGTAACCTCAACGACCAACATGTATTACCTTTTATTAGTGTGCTACTGAGTTTGCCATTATATACAATAAAAATAAGGAATATTTTCACGTTAACAAAAATATTTACTTGACGCATCATATGTTTCCACTAATTTCCAGCACCCAGAATCGAATTTAGCGATATTTTCCCCGTGGGCCAGAAACACAATTCCCATTGGACAATTATTCGAGGATTGGTTACATGGGCTTTATTTGCAGTTTGGGGTTCGTTTTTTGACAAATGTAAAATATGACGAGAGCGATTTTATCCTCGGAGCAGAGCGATAAGAAGCTCTTCTATTTTGACATTTGCGCTAGCCGAGAAGAGCGAGAGCGATCGCTCGCGTCAAACGTGAAGCACTGTACATCTCTTGCATAATTTAGGCTTATCTTGCATGACAACAGGCTTGTTTTCAATAATGTTTTGAATATATTTAATTTACAGGGATGCATCATGGGAAACTGAACCAAACGCCTTTAATGAACTTTTAGAAAGACATAATCGATGTGATGCTGATAAATGTAATAGTCCGTTAGGTCGAGAACATGAAAATGCTAGTGGGTAAGTTCCGATAAATTAACAATGGATTATGTAAGATTTATAAAAAGAGCTGGTAGTTCTTACTATGATAGTTCAAAAATGAATATATTGAAATCTTCAGTCAAATTACTTTATTCTGAGCAAAGTTATCAATGTTTGAAGTTTTGACAAGATATGGCAATGATTGACAGATGGAAACTCTGCCCACTGTTCATATTCCGAAAGCAACGTATGACTCTATGTAGGGCTCAGTGTTCTGTACGAGGTCAGATATGCATACCCTTTCCAAAACACCATATATGACTTCCCATGTTGGAATTCACATACCTTACCAGTTTTTGTTTTAATTTTGTGTATATACTCTTCAAAAAAAGAAACGCACAACCCCTTTTTCATCATTTTTATATGCCCACATGGAAATGTGGACGTATATTGCCGTCTCCCCTGTTCGTCCACAGTTTCTTGTGAACGCTTAACACCAAAAGTTATCATCGGTTGTTTTAAAATTGATATATTGTTTACATTAATTAATATCCGATTGACCATAACCCAGGAAGTTATTTAGATTAGTGAAACGAAGAAACCTATTTAATTTCAATACTTTCCGTTTATTACGTCTAAGAGTTATGGCCCTTGTTTCACTTTGTTGAACCTTGTGAATGCTCTAACACCAAAGGTTATCATCTGATCTTTGTGAAATTTATATGCATCATTTAAATTAGCGAGACGAAGAATCCTACTAAATTTCAGTATAGGGTTATGGCCCATGTTTCACTTTGTTGAACGTTGTGAACGCTCTCACGCCAAAAGTTATCATGTGATCAGTATGAAATTTATATGCATCATTTAAATTAGTGAAACCATGAAGCCTATTGAATTTCAGCAATTTAGAATAATTACTACTAGAGTTGTGTCCCTTGTTTCACTTTGTTCAACCTTGTTAATGCTTAATTGAGGTGACAATTTTCTACTGATATTGATGCAATTTGAAATGTAACTTTATAACCTTAAGATCTTGGTTCATTTTGATATTTGCGCATTTCGGATCGTAACTTCCTGAATTATGGCCCCTGATTGTACGAAAAATCGCTTTTTGTTTAGCTTGTTCTCTATTCATCTCTTGCAAAATGTGGGCGTATCCTGCCTGGCAGCCACTGGTTATCTGGTTTTGTTGAAATTTGAAATGTAAATTTATAACCTAAAGATCTTGGTTCCTTTCTATATCCGTGCATACCGTAAATTCCTGAATTATGGCCCCTGATTGTACGAAAAATCATGTTTTTTTTAGCTTTTGGACCCTATGGAGGTTACAATTTTATTCCGACCAAAACTGCCTGACAAAATGGCCGCCCCTCGAATGCAAACAGTGTAAAATGTGGTATATCAATGTTGTGGACCCTCTAGAGCTCACAATTTTGATTCGGTTTTGATGAAACATGAAATACATATTTATAACCCAAAGATCTTGGTTCCTGTCAATATTTGCGCATATCGGATCGTAACTTCCTGAATGATGGCCCTTGACTGTACGAAAAATTGTGTTTTTAGCTTGTGGTCCCTCTAGAGTTCACAATTATTATCCAATCCAAGAAACCGTGTGAATATATCACCGTTACACCGTTATGATTTCGTGAAAATCGGACCAAAACTGCCGGATAAAATGGCCGCCCCTCGTACGCTAATAGTGTAAAAATATGGTATATAGGTTGTGGACCCAGTAGAGGTCACAATTTTCACTTGATTTTGCGGAACTTGAAATGCATGTTTATAAGCCAAAGATCTTGGTCCCTTTGATATTCGCGCATATTGGATCGTAACTGCCTGAATTATGGGCCCTTATTGTACGAAAAATCACATTTTTTAGCTTGTGGTTCCTCAAGAGGTCACAATTATTATCTGATTTAAAAAAACTTTCGAATATGTCATTGTTACACCGTATTGTTGGTTGAGTTCAAATTTCATGGAAATCGGACCAAATTTGCTAGCCAAAATGGCTGCCCGTTTACGTAAATAGTGTAAACATCTCGTATATCAAGGTTGTGGGCTCTCTAGAGCTCACAATTTTGATCCGATTTTGATGAAACTTGAAAAGCATGTTTATAACCCAAAGATCTTGATTGCGGTCGATATTTGCGCATATCGGATTGTAACTTCCTGAATTATGGCCCCTGATTGTATGTCACAATTATTATCTGATTTACAAAAACATTCAAATATATCACCGTTATACTGTAATGTTGGTTGAGTTCGAATTTCGTGAAAATCGAACGAAAACTGCCAGACAAAATGGCCGCCCCACTACGCAAATAGTGTAAACATCTGGTATGTCAAGGTTGTGGACCCTCTAGAGGTCACAATTTTGATCCGATTTTAATGAAACTTGAAAAGGATGTTTATAACCGAATGATCTTGGTTCCTGTCGATATTCACACATATCTGACCGTAACTTCCTGAATTATGGCCCTTGATGTTATGAAAAATCGCTTTTTGTTTAGCGTGTTCTCTATCCATCTCTTGAAAAATGTGGGCGGCAGCTGCTGAAGGGGTGATGATTTTCCGTTTCAGAAAATAGCAAATTCCGTTTTAAGTATTTTGAATTCCGTTATTTTCCGTTTCAGAGCTGACCATATTCCGTTTTTCGAGATAAAATGTTATTTTATGAATAAATGAATAAAACATCTTAAAATGTCTTTTATTACAAAACGGATCATTTTAAACCAATGATAACAAATGTTGAATTGTGAATGACTTGTTTAAACCTGTTTCCCGAATTAAATAACAGAAAATTACATCTTGTGAGCTCGTTTCATCTTTTTAGCAGACGAAGCCATTTTTCTCAGCTGCTAGTTGTAGTCACGATTTATAAACTATAAACAATAAACTATAAACTATTTATTTAATATAGCGCTAATTTTGATATATAATCTTCAATAGCCCGGTATGCTGACTGGTAGTCGGGCAATAGGTTGTTTGTATTGCAATGTGTCATAAGCTGTCGAAGCGCAGCCTTTTCCAAGACTTTGGAGAGAAATCCAAGATTACTGACTGGTCTGTAATTGGATAAAGTGAGTTCAAGACCCGCTTTTTTCAAAAGTGGTCTAATTATTGGAGATTTCCATTTTTCGGCAAAGACACCCTTGTCCAGGGAGGAATTGATGATGGATGTTATTGCTGGCATTGTAGCGTCAAGTAGTGTTTTTAGCAGCGTGGTTGGCATGCAGTCAAGCTCACATGACTTTGTTTTCATTGAATTCACAATGTTCCTGATTTCAGCAGTTGTTAAAGAAGTGAACTTATCAAGCTTTGGTGCCTCTGTTGGGTTTGGAGTATACTTGTGAATATGTTTGAGACTTTCCCTGATCTGAATAATCTTATCCGTGAATAGGTTAGCAAAGTCCTCTGCTAGTTGTTCATGTGATCTGCCTTCTGGAAATGGGTTTGATTGGGTGTCGCCCGTGATAGTTTTGAATATCCGGTATAATTGTTTTGAGTCACCTTTAGCGTCGATGATTTTTGCACTGATAATAACATTTTTGGCTTGCTTAATCATCCAATTGTACCTGTTTTATTCTTTCTTTAGGGCTATTAATTGGTGATTTTCTCTGAACTTCCGGAAAATTCCCTCACGTTGCCGCACCCTGTGTTTCTGCTGAGCAATTTCCCTTGTAAACCAGGGTTTCTTCCTTCTAACCGTCACTATTTTTGATTTTACTGGTGCAAACTTATCCAAAGCAGCTGTAACGTTATTTTCGAATTCTTGAACCATCCCATCTGTTGAACTCGATTTCAATGACATACTCAATTCCCTACTAATTTCATCCAGTGGAATGTCATTAGTTTTGCGAAAGGTGATTCTCTTCTGACATATGTCCTCTCTAGGAATGGTCATGAATATTCTGATCAGACAATGATCTGATACAAAAACATCCTCACGACAGCTGACAGTGCTGATGGCACTCCCGACCTCAGTATGTATGTGGTCCAGTATATGACCATGCCTCTGAGTTGAAAAGGTTACGTGCTGAATAAAACCTAGAGCATTCATTATGTCTGCAAAGATGCATGCCTCAGCATCACTTTCGTCATCAATATGGATGTTAAAGTCTCCCATTATTATAGGGTTTTTGATGGATGGTAGTACATCAGTATGGAACTCAGTAATTTCATCAATGAAGTGATTCGCGGTCCATCGGTGTTTCTCCGATTAAGGAGGTCGGTAAATTCCAATGATGTGAAAACAGATGTTACTGGATACCAGTTTCCATATTGCATATTCAAATGTCCGCAAAATATCATGTTTTATCAATTTCATCTTGCTGTTATCCCTATAGACTAAGCCTATGCCACCGCCTGGTGTATTCCTCCTATCACAATGATTCCTAAATGATGAAATGAAAGTAGCTAAATACTAAAATAGAAGGTAACTAAACCATGCGATATCATTCAATATTTCCGATTTTTATGAATAAAAAGATGAAATACTTGGATAACTGCAAAATTGTTTTGAGTATCAGCAAATATCGGTTTTTCCGTGTGAGATTTCAAATTCCGTTTTGAGTGGACAATTCCGCGATTTCCGCGTTTTTTCCGCGATCACGGAAAATCATCACCCCTACTGCTGTTTTTTTTTTAAAATAGAAGATTATAAGTGCATCTACAGTAATTTAAAACATGCAGGGGTTTCATTAACAGCCGGCTGCCGGGGAATTTCCCTGGCTACTTGGCTCGTTGCGCCGGCTATATTTTGATTCCATCTGAGAATTTATTATGTCATGAACAGTTTGTAAAATGGAGTACTTCTTTAAGTAGAAATGTACTGGTATACAGAGTTTTGCTACGTAATATAGAACGGGTAGCCGGCAAGTTCACAAACTGCACGCCCAACAATATACAGCGTCAAGGTTATCGAGTTTAAAAGTACAACGTGATAATCAAGAAACAGGCAGTATTCTGTATCTCCTTTCAAAAAGAGTTATCGGTGTAGTTTAATATCATGCCTTCCCTTTTTTCACCCACTCTAC